TCTGCATTTTTAACTTTTCACTATTTCTTTTTTATATATCTGATATCCCTTTGATATCTTTTCCGTTTAGCCTGAAGCGCTTCCTGTAGTATATACTACAGAGCAAGTTGGCAGCAATAAACTTCTTAGTTTTTATTCATGTGATAATAACTATTTTACCTTTGTTCTTAAAGAGTATTTTTGCTAGACATGAAATTATCAGTTAACAGGTTTTTATTTTCATTTTGGATATTCTAAATGTCATCTGTGTTCTGACCTCTACTGTTTCTAATAAGGAGTCTGCGCATGCATTTTGTTGTTCCCCTGATGTAATCTGTTGTCTTTGACTGCTTTCAAATTTTCTCTCTCTTTGGTTTTCAGCAGGTTGTCCTTAAGGTGCTTAAGTGCAGTTTCTTTTGTATGTGACCTACTTGGTGTTAGTTAAGCTAGGTGGTTTTTCAACAAAGTTTGGAAACTTTTGGACATTATTTCTTAAAATAATTTTTTCTGTAACCCTGGCTTTCTTCTCTGAAAGTCAAACTTAACATTCCCAATAGGTAACTTGGACTCTGTTTTAAATATTTTAAAATACTTTCCTATGTCTTTCAGATTGGATAATTTATATTATTGTAATCTTCAAGTTTACCAACCCTTTCTTTTATAGTCTTTAATATACTGTTAAGCCCTTCCAGCAAGATTTTTACTTAATATATTTTAATTTTAGTTCTATAATTTATGTGTTAGTTCTTTTAGTTTCTTTTTTATATTTTTCATTTCTTTGCTGAAATTCTCTGTTCACTCATGAGAATCTTTCCCTTAAAGTCCTTCCAGCATCAGAGTCGTCAGAGATACTTTCTAATGATGATCTTTTCTCATGCCAAATTAGTCCATTTTTTTGGGACTCTTTGATAATTTAATATTATAACATTATGGTATGTTTTAGAGACTGTATCCCACTATCTTTCTCTAAAGGGAGTTAATTTCAGTTCTGCAGTTCACTTGGTTATATACCATCTTTTCTGCACTATGCAGCCTGGCTCATTTATTTTAGCCTTTTGGCTGCTATTTTTCAGTAGGATGCCTGGAGTTTCACATACACCTTTTTAGTTTAGTTTAGTCAAGGATTTGATGAGAGTTTATGCACAGATTTTGGAGCTCTCTCTGGTGAGGCTCCCTCCTAACAGGAATATGCCCCTCCCTTTCCAGATATCCTAATGATCCTGTACTCCATCCTGTGACTCTTGAAATTAGTAAGACTATGGTTTTCTGTTTGTGTCCTACTTACTCTGTATAGTGTAGTGATTGGAAAATGACCTCAGTTGAAAAGTTGTGTAGATGTAAATCTCACAGTACATTTTGTGTCAAAATTTAATTATTTTTCAGTTCCTGCTTGTACTTGATGCTTCTACATTCCCTTAAATAGTTATTTTATGTACTTAGTTCAGAGTTCATAATTGTTTTACACAGAACTGTTATTTCTATACATGCTACTCTACCTTTACTGAAAGATTTTATTCCTTTTTTTGATATCTTTCTCTAACAAAGCTACAGATCTAGTGGATTTTCATTACAGAATGATATGTATGATAACTACACTCATTTCCAAAAGTTGATGTTTTTCATTCATTTTCTGACTTAGAATAATTATATATTTCGACTGAGAATTAATTCACAAATATTTGTACCTAATCTGTGTAGGCATTGTATGTTGGTGTCAGAGTTATAAACAAAGACAGAAATGTTTCCTGCTCTAATGGAGTTTATAATCTCGGAGGAAAGAAAATAACTAATGAAATGATATAATTAGATGTATGTTGGGGAAAAAAATATTTGAAGAAAAAAACACAAACAGCAGGATTCGGATGGGTAAAAGTAGGACCTAACCTTGACTGAAGGGTTCAGGAAAAAAAAAAAAAAAAGACTTCATTGAGGAAGAAATGAATAAACTGAGATCCGAAAGTTTCAATGACCAGTAATTAGGGGACCAAATAGAAGGATTGGCATGTCCAAAGGCATCGTAACAAAATATAGCATGGAACTTCTGAGGAACCAAATGTAAGCCAGCACTGCTAGAGGGGGGAGAATGAAGAGAGCATGGTACAAACTTGGAAAGGAAAGTCAGTGGCTTTGGGTCTTGTGGGCCATGTAAGGGTTTTATGCTTAACCCCAAGAGCAAGGAAGAACTGTGGCATTATTTTAGAAAAGGGCTTATATTTGTATTTGGAAAGGCCTAATTTTTTTTTAATTTTTTTAAAAAGGTTTTATTTATTTATTTGACAGAGCAAGAGAGATCACAAGTAGGCAGAGAGGCAGGCAGAGGGGGAGGAGGAAGCAGTCTCCCTGCTGAGCAGAGAACCTGATGGAGCGCTCCATCCCAGGATCCTGAGATCATGACCTGAGCCAAAGGCAGAGGTTTAACCCACTGAGCCACCCAGGTACCCAGGTCTAATTTAGTTATAGTATGGAGAATGGATTAGAAGGGGAGTCCAGAATGGGAGAAACAGAAGGGACGCTCTGCAGCAGTTCAGGTGAGACATGATAGTAGCTTGGACCAGGGTCAGAGCAGAAGAGATAAATAAAATGGAAAATTTTTGAGAAATAATGAGGAATTAATATCAAAAAGTCTTGGTGATATATTGGTTTTGATATGTAAAGGATGGAGATGTCAATAATGTTTCCTAAGTTTCTTTGCCAAACTGGATAGTTGAATGGTGGGTTTCATTTACTGAAATGTAGAATACTAAAAAAGGCCTAGAGTTGGGAATGAAGGTTTGTGTTCAGGTTTGAACATGTTGAGTTTGATATATGATTGATGGAGTCAAGTAGATAGTTGGATGAGTAGGTAGTTGGATATATGGAGCTGAAATTCAAAGGAGTGTTCTATGTGGAAGTTATGTATTTGGCAACTGGAGTGATGAACACAGGGTATCAGTTTCCATAATTTAGCAATGCTACAGGAATAACACTTATCTCTACTCTGAGATATTTCTTTCCTATGGAGAATATATATTCTACAGATTTCTGTAGTCTGAGTGAAAGGATTTAGACCATCCTCACCCCTAGTATATGTTAACACCTATTACTCCTTCCTTCTACTCTTTGATTACTGTTTACAGAGGTGGAGGGAGGAAAAATTCCAGATTTTAAAACTTTAATATTAAATGTTTTTGTAATTTTTTTCTTAAAAATGAAAATCTTATCTATGGCTTAAGTAAAGGAAGATTTCAAAGTCAGAGCTCACTAATTTAAAAGGTTTATTATTTTAGATTAAGGCTAGTAAGCTTATGTTTACCTTTGCATTTTCTGTTAAAGGGATAGCTTATAAAGGAAATGAGTAATAGAAACAAGATAGCAAAGAAAAGATTTCCTAGCTAAGAAATTGAACCTGTAAAGTACATTTAGGAGGCTTTGTTCATACACCAGTGACGAAATAATGTAAGCAGAGTCCCAAGAGTCTTAGATTGATGACTTGACAGGCTATTTATAAATCAGTCTAATCTGCACTTTAAATAAACCTCATTCAGGTAATGCCTGTTTAGTATATTTCCAGGAATGTTTTTGTAGTGAATTTTCTGTTACATGATGTTGTTATTCTGAATTTTTAAAATTATTTCTGCATATCTAATTTACAATAGCATCTAACCCTCGTTATGAATTTCAGGTTTTTTAGTTTCCTTCTGAAAAAAAGGAAAGATTACTTAATGTTCAGACTTTTGGAGAAAAGCAAGAGAATGAATATCTATTGAATTCATCCTCTGTTCCAAAGTCTTTGCCATCTCTCATGAATAAATTGATAAAACAATCCTTAGAGTCACCTGATACATCTTATTATTACCTCAATTTTGCTAACAGGACAGAAACCTAGAGATATCTAAAAATCTTCCAAAGCCATTCACCTAGTAAATGGTTGCATTGGGATTTAAAGCAGAATTTGAGTGATTAAAAAACCCTTTCCTGTACCACTAAGCCACTCTTTTTCCATTACAGTTAGTTTAAATATTCATATTTTATCATTGTTTGAGATTGGAAGTCCAAATATGGCTTATATTTAACACTCTGGTAAAGAAAATTACCTTACTAAATGGCCAATTAACCTTACTCTCCTAGAAAATACTCAAAAAATTGACTTATTTAAAAAATATTGTATGGGGCGCTGCGTAGCTCAGTCAGTTAAGTGTCTGACTCTTGATTTTGGCTCAGGTAGTGAACTCAAGGTCATGGCATCAAGCCCTGTGTCAGGCTCTGAGTGCAAGTGGAGCCTGCTTCTCTCTCTCTGTCTCCTCCATCTGCCCCTCCTCCCACTTGCACACACGTGCATTGCTGTTTCTCAAATAAATAAATGCTTTAAAAATATACAGATTTTTAATTCATTCCTATAGGCCTTTCCCATAATTACTCTGGAAAAAAGGATGGTTTCTTTTTTTTAAATTGAGATATAACTGACATATGACATACTAGTTTCAGGTATACAACATAATGATATGGTATTTGTATACATTGCAAAGTGATCACCACAACAAGTCTAGTTTACATCTATCACCATAGTTAGATTTTTTTCTTGTGATGACACTGTTTAAGATCTACTCTCTTAGCAACATTCTAATATTACAGTATAGTATTATTAATTATTATTATCACCATGCCGTACAGTACATCCCCATGACATATTTTATAACAGAAAGCTTATACCTTTGCTCCCTTCACCTATTTCACCTACCTCCTACCTCCTACCTCTGACAACTACTAGTTGGTTCTCTGTATCTATGAGCTTGTGAGGTTTTTGTTTGTTTTTTGTTTGTTTGTTTTTGTTTTCTTTTAAGATTTCACATAGAAGTGAGATCATACAGTATTTGTCTTTGTCTGATTTATTTCACTTAACATGCCCTCAGGGTCCAAGATGGCCTTTATATAGTGTTTATTGACACTTCCTAATACACTGATATTAACAGGCCTGTAGATAGACATGTTGTCTAATCTAATGCAGACTGTTCTAACCTTTTCTTGGTAATGTTATTTTTCAGAAGGAGAACTTGAAGCTGAGTGGTTGCAAGACGTGGGTTTATCAACCCTGATCTCAGGTAATGAAGAGGAGGATGGCAAAGCCTTGCTCTCTACACTGACTCGAACCCAAGCAGCTGCTGTGAAAAAGAGATATAATACTTACACTCAAACCATGAGAAAAAAGAACAAGCAGTCTGTTCGGGATGTCAGAGACATCTTTGGAGTCAGCGAATCTCCTGTAAGTAATGAACACGGCTCAGAATTTTGGCTTGATTAAGGGTGAGAGGGAGAACATGAAGAAGATCTTGGAAAAAGTTGGTCATCCTGTCTCTTTTAGAGAAAACTAAAGCAGACAGCAGATTGCAAAATTTTACAAATTTGAAACTTAAGCGGTCATTCCTTATCCCCCCTATAGCAGTCTCCCTCAACACTAAATTTATTCCCTTCTTTGTTGAGTTGAGAATAACTTATTTGGTAATGGAACAAATCTTCGTGCCTAGGATTCACAGAGACTTTACTTAATGAATCTAGCACTGGGTGGAAATTCTGTGAACAGACAAAGGACTCCCAGGGAAGTAGGTCCAAAGTATTCTAAGCAAGTGGTAAAAAGTGAAAGATACAGCATTAATTAAGTGGGCAAGAGAATGATTCAGAAACATAAGGAAAGCATCACATGTTTTCTGAAAAAGGGCTGGTTGAAATTCCAGCTCACCCTTAGCAATTCTGTGGCTACAATCTTATTTCTGAGGCTCTTAGTCATGTTCTCCTATTGCTCTATTTTACTACTTAGCTCTACTCATTTATTCCTTCATTCATTGCATCATTGAAATTAATAATTGCATCAGTGATGCAGCCAGTATTACTGGATACATTCAGTGTGCAAGATCCTATATCCTACATTAGGTTCTATGCAGATAGAATTCTTGGCGTTTTGGGGATATATAGAAAAAAAAAAGAAACTTGATATTCTGCTATAGTACAGATAGTTGCCTGGGACAAGTTAGTTAATCACTCTGATCTGTTTCTTACTATTTAATTTGTTATCAATAAGACATAAATTAAAACTTCAAGAATATTGGGTAGCAGGCTTGCTTGAAGGCAGCCTCCAAATTGAGTTACTTTAGGTTATCTAAAAGTCATATCTTCTCTTAGATACATGATTCAACCTGGGTAGTTGTCAGAATAGCTCATATTTCCAAGTTGGTCTTTGTGGTTTTGCTGATAATGCCCTAGAATAGCACTGTCCTTTAGAGCTTTCTAGTGATGGAAATGATTTCTGTGCTTTCCAAAAGGACAGCTAGTGTGTGTCCAATATGTAGCTAGTGTGAATAAGGAACTGAAATTTTAATTTTATTTAATCTTAATTGATTTAAATCTAAATTGCCACATATGGCTTAGAGCTAATGTATTGAGCAGTACAGTTCTAGAACTTTTCACAGTACAAAATGATATACCTGAGGCAGCGCACTTTTAGTTCTGTGCTGTTTCAGTTTTCATCCTAGTTGAAACCTGTATCTTTGTGGAAGGCAAGATTTCTATATCTGTATTTGAGTAAAAGTAACACCTACAACTTGAAGTAAGGGCTTTAGCTATGGGAGTCTTGGCCAAGATACTTATCAAAGAAAAGGTTTAACCCTGCTGGTGTAAATTCCCTGGGTCATTTTACGTTTATCCCCCAGATCGTTTCAAGAGATTCCTAAGAACTTGGTCTGTATGCTTCCTTTCCCATTTCTGTTTCTAGTTACTTCAGACTAAGATTTTTTCCTCTAACCTAACAAATTGCAAAATAGGAGAGTATCTGCAGCTTCTCTGAATCCTGCAGGTACTCAAGAAGATGCATACAGTGCTTCTTTATGTTTTCTAAAGCTTTGGACTTCTTGTCACATAGAAACAGTGTTCTTCCCTCTTTTACCTAGACCCTCAAGGAAAATATAAAGTGGGCACTTACTCACTGGGGCTTTAAGTGTAAAAATAAATGAAGGGTGTCTTACTTTTCCATAATATGCGGGTTTAGGAAACTGGGTTTAACTCTAGCAAAGGCAGAGAGATGGCCACACTTATGGTGGGCAAGGGGAATGGCCCTGGCACTCTCTCTCTTCCACATCTTCCTCTTCTCCCTTCTACTCTTTTTGCTGAGGCCCCATTCCAGAGTGAACAGAGAATGGGTGTGCGGCAGGGAGAGTGGTTGTAGGTGAAGGGAGTAGAGGTCTTGCTCTATACCGAGAAGGGTAGCATCTGGAAGTCAGTGAAAGCCTGGCATTGTATATGCAAGTTCAGAATTCAGATTGTTCTTCAACAAAAATGTAAAAACCCACATAAAGCTAGCCTTTAAGAAAATATGGTAGGGCTTTCTAGGGAAGATGGCAAAAGAGTAGGGGACCCTCGTTTCTTCTGGTCCCAGGAATTCAGCCAGATACCTATCAAATCATTCTGAAACCCTCTGAATTCAACCTGAGATATAAGAAGAGAATTGCTGAAATCCTACAAATAGAAAAGCGAACATTTTTTGCAAGGTAGGAGGTGCAGAGACATGAATCTGAGGGGATATATCATAAGATAAACCATGGTGGGATAGGAGCCTCTATAAGCCAGCTACTGGAAACTGATAAAGCTGCAGAGTTCAAAATCAGAACTTTTAGAAGTCTTCTCCAGTGAGGAACATCCCTGCCTGGAAAGTGCTCATGTGGTAAAGCAGGGCAGAATCTTAGGTTGGACAGTGTGGTCTCCAGATCCCCAGGGTCATAGACAGAGTGGGGGTGCCTGAGTGTGGCAGAGTTCCCAAACTATGGAGCCATGAAGCCAGCTATATTCAGTGAGCCTGGAATGGGCTCTCAGCTAGGTGTTGCCACAAACCAGGAACCACGGCACAGTCCTGCAACTGCTCTCTAAGCAGAGGCCCAATAAGCGATAACCACTCCAACATGTTGCTTCTCCTCCCACTCTGCGCTCCACCCCCCCCCACCAAGAGAAACAGCAGGGGTTGTCGCAGGATCAGGCAACCACTCCCCAAGTAGGGGCCCAGTGAGCCAGGGGACCATGATGAGACCCCCCTCCCAGGAGGATTTGTGTGGGTGTGCATTGCAGGAGTCTGCAGAGTTTAGCACACACAGAAGGGATTAACTGCTTTTCCCTGAGGGTGCACTGAAGAGTGGGGACACTGGTTGTTCAGCAGATCAGGACACTGCCATTTTTACTTTTTTGTTCATCCTCTAAAGCGGTGTGAAAAGCCTTCAGGGAACAAAAGCCATAGAGAACAACCTGAAATAGCTTACACTGAGGCCGGCTGCCTGGCAAGGGTGGTACAATTCCGCCCAGGCAAAGACACCTGAGAATCCATGCAACAGATTCTCAGAATCTCAGAATCCTCTCTCAGAAGTCCAGCAGGAGCATCGGGCAAATACCAAGTTTATGGATCACACAGAACTAAAAAACTCCTGCGATAAGGGAAAATAGTATATAGAATTTATATAGTATATAGAATTTCTCATGAAACTTTTGTATTTCATTTTAAAATTTTCTGTTTTTTTTTCCTTTTTACCATTTTATCAACTCTTTGTTTTTAAGGTTTTTTTTTTTAATTTTAATTTTTACATTTACATTTTATAAATATGTTCTTCATTTTGGGCTTCATTTTACTGTATTCAGTTTTATTTTCTTATATGTAGAAGTTTTTCTTTCTTTCAATTTTGGGATTTAGTGTCTTCTAACAAATAGACCAAAATACACCCAGGATCAAGTGGATTACTCTTTTCTGTCTATCTGTAAGATTATATTCTCTGCCCCCCTTTTCCTCTTCTTGTTTGCTTGCTGACCTCTTCAGATTTGTCTAGTGTATATTTTACTGGGATCGTGGTTGATATTTTTTATTTTGCTCTCTTGTTCATCTATTTTTCTCTGGACAAAACAACAGAAGGTGGAATTCACAACAAAAGGAAGAACCAAAGGTAATATTCTCTGCCCCAAATCTAGTCGGTACAGATATAAGAAAATGTCAGAACCAGAATTCAGAATAACGATGATAAAGTTACTAGCTAGGCTTGAAAAAAGCATAAAAGACACTAGAGAATCTCCTAGTGCAGAAATGAAATCTAGTCACACCGAAATTAAAAATGCTTTAACTAAGATGTAGTCTAAAATGAATGTTTTAACAGCTAGGGGAACTGAGGCAGAAGAGAAAGTCAGTGACATAGAAGACAAAATGGTGGAAAACAAGGAAGCTGAGGAAAAGGAAGAAAAAAAACTAATGGACCATGAAGGGAGAAATTAGTGATACCATAAACCAAAACAATATTAGAATTATTGTTGCAGAAGAAGAAGAAGGTGGGGGTACAGAAGATATCTTTGAGCAAATCATGACTGAGACCTTCCCTAATCTGGGGAAGGAAACAGGCTCAAGTCCAGGAAGCACAGAGAATCCCCCCTCAGAATCAATATAGTCAACACCGTGACATTTAATAGTGAAGCCTGCAAATTTCAGAGATAAAGAGAAAATCCTGAAAGCAGCTTGAGATAAGAGGTCCTTAATGTATAAGGGTAGGAACATTAGACTGGCAGCAGACCTATCCACAGGGACCAGGCAGGCCAGAAAGGGCTCGCATGATACATTCAGGGTACTAAATTTAAAAAAAAAAAATGCAACCAAGAATACTTTATCCAGCAAGGCTGTCATTCAGAATGGAAGGAGAGATAAAGAGCTCCTAGGACAAACAGAAACTAAAAAGGGGCTCCTGGATGGCTCAGTCAGCTAAGCCTCTACCTTTGGCTAAGGTCATGATCCCAGAGTTCTGGGATTGAGCCCTGCATTGGGCTCCCTCCTCAGTGGGGAGTCTGCCTCTCCCTCCTCCTCTGCCTGCTACTCCCCCACTTATGCACATGCTCTCTCTTTCTGTGTCAAATAATTAATTAATTAATTAATTAAAACAAAAAACTAAAGAACAAAAGCCAAGAACTGAAAGAATTTGTGACCACTAAACCAGCCCTGCAAGCAATATTAAAGGGGGTCCTCTAAGCAAAGAGAGAGTGCAAAAGTAACATAGACCAAAAGAACCAGACAGTCTGTGGAAACAGGGACTTTACAGATAATACAATGGCATTAAATCCATATCTTTCAATAGTTACTCTGAATATAAATGGGCTAAATGCTCCAATGAAAACCTTTGAAAGGATTTCAGATTGGATGAAAAAAGTAAGAGCCATCAATGTCCTGTCTACAAGAGATTCATTTTAGACCCAAAGACA